ATTTGTCTTTGTTACTTTCCTGCTGCCATAGACCTGTATTACAGTCTCGTAACCAGGAAATGCCATAGAGGTCTTGGTTTGGGAACTCTCTTCCATAGGCTCAACTGGGAACTCTTTTTGAGATGTATGTCCAGACTCCTCTGGAGATCCTCTCTTCTCATTCTTCATGAACTTCAGGGGCACTTTCAAACATCTGTCTGTAGAGCACTGCAGTATGCAAGAGCAATGGGTTTTGAGCCTGGCACTTTACGGTGCTGCATAGCAGAAGAAAAAGAGAATTGAATTGAAATTCAATTAATTCAGTGTTTAATGAATTGAAACAGAGAGGTTTTGACTGGAGCAGATGTCTTTCTATGAGGATAGTTAAGCATTAGAATAGGGACCAAAGAGGTGGGGGAATTTCTGTCCTTGGAGGTTTTCAAGACCCAACTGGACAAACCGCTGAGCAACCTGGTCTGAATTCAGTATTGACTGTGCTCTGTACAGAATCTTGACTTAGAGACCTCCCAAGCCTCCTACCTGAGTGTTTAGATGGGGCACACTTCACCTGGCATTTTTCAGGTGTTGATGGTGTAAGGTTTTATTTTACCCTTATGATGCTGCTTCTGAAAGATAAAATGCAGGGAAGTAGATAAATTTGTCTCATGTGTGCTGTGGTATTACTGGTGGGCATAAACATAAGGTGGATTTGTGTGTATGTTTGGGATGTGGATCATGCCACATCTGAGTCCCCATACAATAAATGGAGATTTGGCCTTGGCCTGGAGAAATCACAGTGTCTGCTTCCCAGGGGAAGCATGTCATGCTACTCTGTTGCCTGTTCACTCTTCAAGAAGCTTTTCGCTTTCCATTCACTGTCTGTTTCTCTTGTCTATTTATTTGCTTTTTTGGATTTTATTAAGGAAATGGCACATTTTCTCCACCTCCACGCCGCCAAACCGTCCCTCCTCCAAAACCCAGACGCTCCAAGAAAGGTCTGTGTCACCCGCTGCTTCCTCTTTGATTTTTGCAGTAGGATTGCAGACTGCATTGAATTTTTACTACTTGCATCCAGGACCCTCAGATGTTTGTCTCTGTACAACAGCTAGGAAGTGGAAAGAGAGCCCATCCTTCTTGGTCAAGCAGCATTGCTCCATGCTACCAACCTGGCTCCGATGTTAGAAGTTTTTAAGGATAATGATGTCTTTTATAGTTTTGGAGCTTGACCTCTACTTCCTATTAGGTCCCTGAGTCATGGTAGCTGGCGTAGACTTTAAGTTGCATGAATGATTTGCTTTTGTTGTTTGCTACTTTGGTCTTTGTTCTTTTTATTGTTGTTTGTCACTTGTCTGGTGTGTTCGTTGTTGAAAGATGAATACCCACTGACAAAAAACTTTCCCTAACAGAACTGAATAAACAGGAGAAGTACCAGTCTCATCCAGGTGAGAACTGCTCCTTCCTATTAGAGAAGAGGCATGTTACATTGACATGATCATAGTACAGACAAGTGCTTTGTGGTCATGGACTGTAGTAAAGGGCCAATGCAAGACCCTGTAGTCCTTTGAAGCATTGTAAGAAAACGATTATTCTCAGGAAAGAAGAGTTTTAGTTCATGCGATTTAGCAGTGGGTGCAATGACTTGTGGCTAAACAGGGAGTATTTGAAGATGGAGGTTTTGCTTTGGAGATGTCTTACTGATCTAATGCCACAGTCCTTAAAATCCAAGGTCTCTTGCAGGGTGAGAGGGAAGGGGGGTTTCTTTATGTTCTCTCTGCTTAGGCGTACAGTCATCTGTTGGGGTTAGGAGACACCAAGCCTGCAAACCCCTTGTTAGCCCATCCGGTGTTGACCTGAAGCAGGGATTAAAGTCCATGAGATGAAGGACTGGGCAATTTGTATTTTCTGTAGCGCCAAACTTTGCCTTTGTAGGCTGTGTGTAACGAAGCCAAGCAGGCAGGTAGTTGTGATAACACAGAGCTTTCTCCAGGCTGCAAGGCCTGCCTTCCGTTTGTCTGTGCTGAGCTCAGTGCTCCTGTGGCTGGGCTGTTTGTTGATGCTGTCTTGTGCTTTTGCTGCTCCCCTGGCACTTGGAGGATAAATTTTGTAGCTCAATAGCATAGCAGTGCATGGAAGGAGGAGAAATGTCCCTCTGAGGCCTGTCAACACTGAGGGTTGTCAGGAAACTGTTGCTGGCTGGGTGATTCCTGAACATAGGCAGGACACCAGGATGCTGGAGCAGAGAGATATCTCCAGTTCTGTGCTTGGAAGGAGATACAAGAGATCAGAAAACTGCTTTACCGGATATCTCTGGGGCCTGTGAGATGTTTCCCTCATTCAGTTTTCCCCTTGGACTCTTTTTGTATCCACTCCAAGAAGAGTGAAGAAGCTGCTGTGATTTGGGATTTTGTCCTAGAATTTCAAGCTCAGGATATTCTGTTTTATTTTTGTCCTACAGAACATAAGCGTCAGGACTTGGAAGCTGAACTGCTCCCTGCTCGAAGTATGGTGGCTGTGTTTGACTATAACCCCAAGGAGAGCTCTCCAAATGCAGATGTAGAGGTAACCAGCAGCTGCTCACTCCTCTTATAGGTTTCTTTTTCCTCTCTTTTTTTTTTTTCCCTCCTATTTTATCCTGTAACACTTAGTACTTTGGTCAAAACCCAGAGAGTTACAGCTCAAAAATATAGCTGATAGAAGTGATTGGCTAAAGTTATAAAACACAGAGTTTGCTGGTGTGTTCTTTCATGTATTATCTAATAACTGTGTTGAGTTATCTGTGAAGAACATGAAACAATATACCCCTAATTATTTTCTGTATATGTGTCTCAGTGAAACCACACAAGCATCATTTGGCCTCCTAGGGTTCTCTAGTGCATAGGTAGTATTTTCCTAGCTGTAATTTTTTTCAGTAGCTCTGGTAGAAGCCTAGGCTCTCATCCAGAATCCTTTATTCTTCAACCCACTTATTCTTCAACCAACTTAAGTAAAAACATGCTGGTTCTCTGTTCCTCCCTAGCAGGATTAGTCTCCTCTGAGCAAGTCTAAACAGGGGATCTGGATTCAGATTCTTTCCACAAGCACAATACAGATGTTTGCCTCCCCAACTGTCTCTGAATGTCTTGTGAATGTGACAGAGCCTGCTTCTGAGGAGAAAGTGTTTTAGAGGTGATAGATTGTCTTGGGAGAGGTGTAATGAGAGCATGTGTCAACCTGCATCGATGCAGATATTCACACATCTGGCCAAAGAACACTTCTGAGCCCTTGTCACAAGAAAAAGATTGTTGTTTTTAGCAGTGATTGGACCTTCCCAGAACCTTCCCTGTGAAGGGAGCTCAAAAATGAGACAAACTGGTGCAGTTCTGTTGCATTAGTGGAAATGCTCCCTGTTCACACTGCCAGAAAATTTGGTCACCTGGTTTGCTAGGAGACTGCAGCTGCTGTTTGTGAACTTGCCCCAAGCTGGTTCTGTGCAGTTCCTTGTGTCTGTGAATGAAATTCCCTAGAAGCGTCTTTCTCCTAGAACAAAGTAATTCACGGCCAGCTGTAGGAACCTGAGGCCTCAGGAGATAGACTAAAGACTGCAGACTAAATATAAAACCTGCCTAGGGATCTCTAGAGGTCTATTCCAGCCAACGCTTTTGTGATTCTGTGAAGTGCATATAAGGCCAGTCTGTCTGGAGTGGGACTTGTCCATTACACAGCCTGTTTGCAGACTCACCCTTTTTAATCCTCAAGAAGCTGTTTTGCTGTTCCTGGGGGGGCTCTTTCATTAGGAGAGACTGCTTTGGCCTGGTTCTCGTGTTCCATGGAGTGCAGAATGGGGTGGCTGAAAGGATGGATGGATCTGATGGGGAAGGGTTGTGTCTTGTGCAACAACGTTCTGTTCTCGGGTCAAGTCTATCAGTTTGTGTGCGTTCCTGCTAGTCACTAATCCCTGAGCATAGCACACAGAATAGGCTCATATGAAGGGAAGGGCATTATGTATTTGTATTTAAAGAAATATAAGGTATTTCTGGTGCTTATTCAGGCTGTCTTCAACATGCCTTGCCTGAACAGGTGGTAGGTACCATTTTAGAGCTTTATAGAAACTGTTTTAATAGACAGGCTTAATTTATGAAATGCTTCCTTTGCATTGCATTTCATAATACTTAGAATTCTGCTCAGAATTCTGTTCTGCATCTTGGTCCTGCAGGTCCTAACACAGTGGCTTCTCTTGCTTGTGGTGAGATCTTGCAAGCAGCCCCGCGTGACCTTGTGTTTCTGATGAGAAAGTCCAGGCAGTGCTCCTCCTGTAACTTGTTCTCTTGCTTTTTGCAGGCTGAACTGACTTTTAGTGCAGGGGACGTTATCACTGTGTTTGGGTCCATGGACGATGATGGATTCTACTATGTGAGTACCAGTGTTGGGAAAATCCAATGGTTATATCTGGAATAGTTGGAGTCCATCTAGTAGCAGGAGGGCAGAAATTAGAGGATGAAATATTGTGCTTGTGGAACAAATGAACCCATTGCTGCATATTGCAGGGTGGGATGTTGCAGTCCGTTCTCCTCTTTTAAACCCAACATCCAAATGGTTTTAAGTTTCTTTCTTTGCATAACTCCACTGCAAGTTTCCTGAAGCCTAGGATACATCTTGCTACACATGCATCAGCTGCATCAGCATCTGCTACAAGTTGATTTGTTACCAAGGACTCTTGACACATGGGTATTATCCACGGCAGGAATAACATAAGAAAAAAAATATGCGCCAACCCCTATCCTGCTACACGTCAGCATATCAACTTCAGCAAACACTGATAACAGTTTAATTTACTATGGATATCCGGGGTCTGTGCCTGCCGGAGAGCTGTCTGTTGGACAAGATTCTTAGTCCTTGGATCATCCATCTTTTCCTGGACAGAAAGCAGTGTATCTTCACACATCAGGGTTGAGGTTCACTTCTGGGTAAAGTCTAGAGGGATCACTGTGAATGTCTTGTTTGACCAGCGCTATGAAAGAAGTCAAACAACGTTACTGGGGTTATTTTGTCTCATCCAATCACCTGTTGATGAATTGGAAACAGTTTTTTAGAAAGAAACACAAGGTTGGTTTGCAGCCCTAGATGTCAGTGTGCATAGAGACAACGCTATAGGACAATTGTACCAGTAATACCTCATTGTTTAAACAAAAAAAAAGAAAGAAAAAAAGAAAAAGAAACAAGCAAAGGCCCTTAGTAAGTCTGTGGCATAGTCATGTTCCAGTTGCTTCCAGGATATCAGTGGAAATGCTTTGACTTTGTAGAGTGCAAATAGGCTTAGTAATTAAGAATTTAAGAGTGACTGGGTTGTTGTAATACATTTATCACTGCCTGCTGTCATCTTCTGTCACTTTACTCTGCTCCTCTATATTTTTGTGTTCTGAATTGTTCTACGACTAAGCAAGAATGCAAATCCTGAAATTTGGTGAAGATCCTTCCAACATGAATGTGTGCCTGGGCCCCTAGCTTCTCTCAGGCCGTAGCCTAGCCTTCTCTGCGTGGGGCTGTTTCTCTATTTGTATCTCCGTCAGCCAGAAAACCTGATGTAAGAATTGAATGTTGATCCTGCAGGGAGAGCTGAACCAACAGAGAGGGCTGGTCCCATCTAATTTCTTGGAAGCTGTAACTTTGGATGGAGGCACAGTCGAGGAACTTCGTTCAAAAGATAAAGAAGCTTTTCCACCGAGTGCTGAGAACCAGGTAAGATTGCATAACTCCGCGTAGTACAGACACCCAAACCATGACATGGCTGGAGACTGGAGACCAGGGGGTTATACAGCATGCTGCATCTGATAGAATCATTTAAGTTACTGCATGCAGCTGGGTGCTTCCCATGGGAAAAGCTCAAAGGTTTAGGGAGGAAAGCTAGGAGCTCTTCTTAAAGACTTGCCTATAGTGCAAGAAGAGACTTAAAGCACTGGGGCCTCAAGTCTCATTATGGGGAGGTGATCAAAGAGCTTCCCAGGTCCCACCAACAAATTCTTTAGATACAAGCAAGGGTCACTGGTGAAATCCTGCTACATGCAAAGCAGACCAGCTAGCTCCCCAGACATGGGGAATTCCTCAGATGCGTTCATGTCCATGCAAGGGAGTTCTGAAGCTGTTTACACTCAAACACCAATAGCCGCCTATCCATTCCAAGTTAGATATATCTTAATCCAGTCCGAGATATTTTCAGACACACTCAAAGCATGCTGAGGAATTTCCCAAATAGATCTATGAAATGGTTCTTAAGGCTTTGAGAGCAACCGCAACCCACAAATCCAAGGAATACATTACACTGCTCTCCCTGTTTAAACAAATGGCTAAGGTTTGGGTCATCTGCCAGATTCAGTCAGTTCTCAGTGGGTGAGGTCAAGAGTGTGGTGGTTCCAGGGTCACTCCTGGACCTCCATGCTATGTCCTTCTGGAGAAGGGGTGGCAGGGAGGGCACAGCTTGGTCCCAGCTCATAGGTATTCATCCTCCAACCTTCAGTTTTTCTTGGGAGGTTATTGCCACAGTCAAATGGTGCCAGACCCAAAGAAGTGTTGAACAGCAGGCCCAGATCAGCTCTGAGCTGGTCTTTTAATCAAGTATCCTCCTTTGTCAAACTTCCCTCTGTTGTCACCCTAGCTTTTCTGCTCTCTGCACCCTTCCTTCATCCTGCTTTTTCATGCTCAGCCCCTCCTTTTCTCTGTACCTGCCTCCCATCTCTCTGTATTTAAGTGCTTCCTGATCTCCTTCAGGAATCTCCTTCAGGCAACCCCATCTCTTCCTTCCAGGCATTTTGAGCTTTGTGGGTGCAGTATCTATGCTACAGCCTCTGTGCCTTCCTATGAAGAGAAGGTGACAGGCCTGACTTGGAAGAAAAGTTTCTGGATAGTTTTCTGGATCATCTTCCAAACTCAACAGCTGTCTTGAGTCCCTTGTGCTTGCCTATCTAGGACCTTTGCTCTCAGTCCCTTTTCTCTCATGCTGGGGCATCACAGCAGTTAACGAGCTGTTAGTACCAGGGTTTATCTAAGGCCCTGAGGTTACAGAAGTCTAACTTCCTGGTGGAAATAGGCTTTCAGAGTGGGTTTTCTTCTCCAGTTTCCCTCTCAACATGATTTACTCTTCCCAAATTATTTATTTATCAGAATAGAGGGTGCCCAAGGAGACCTGTGACAGTACAGTCATAAGAGGTTGAATACATAGTGTAGTTTATTACAGATCTAACCCTCCTCTCCAGTACTGACTGGCAGCAAAAAGGGCCACTTCAGATGTTAGAGGTCACTATTCCAGCACCAGCCTGAGGCCTCCTGGAAATCTTGGAAAATTCAGCTAAGCTGCAGGGCTCAACAAGGTAGTCCTGCCACTTGCAAATGTGAAGCGTGTGGTTTAGCAAGTGGTATTTTATTAAAGGGAGAAAAGAGAGACCCAAAAGTGTGATAAACAGGGTAACATACACAACAAATCCCTCTCTTCTGGTTTCTTGGTGAGAAAACTGTGACACCAGTTTGGCCATGCCATGTCCCAGAGCTGTCGTGGGCCCTTCTGGGTAAGAGGGCCCTGTCCAATCTGCTGCTGAGTAGGGAGCATGAACTGCTCCTACTCCTTATTCTACAGCTTGCTGCTGCTCCACTTGCCTTTCACAGGATACAGCAGTTTGACCCACATATCCCTGCATGTTCACAGCTATAAAAATTGTCTCTGGTTCATGACACCTTCTATTTTTTTAATAGAAACTCCTCTCAAATGTGATAAAATGACCTACATAAAGTCAACGTGTTTCAGGCTTGCCTGCCCTTCAGTCCTTTTCATTTGTCTCCTGTTCTCACTGCTGGAGATCCACAGAGCCTCGCCTCACCTTGGCCGTAACTTTGGGTCTGCAGAGTGGGAAGCTGCTGCCTTAGGTCGGATAGATTTGGTGGCTCTGGGACTTGGCTGATCCATGTGCTGCTACTCTTTGTAGTCTGTGAAGTCTGGGGACTTGGAAAATTCAATTGTTGATGATTAAGCCAATTTTATTTCGGTGGGAATCCATGTTAACTGTCTAGGCATGACGTTCTTTTTTTCCCCACCCTGTCCTGGTGCCCCATTCTGTGTAGTGATAGGGCTCCCACATTCACCTGTCCTGCTACCTCCTTGCTACACCTGGATACTTTTCCTGAGTGAGTCTAGCTTAGCACTCTTTAACATAAAGTGCAATCCTACCTCCTGCTTGTTCTTTGCAGTCCAGGTCTATCTAAACAGCTTCCAAATATGAAGGGCATATTTGCCCCACTTTTAACAGCAGTGCACTTACCCTGCTTGTAACCAAGCCTGTATTAGTTAACTAGATTTAACTAGTGTTTAGTGATTACCAAGGGGAGACAGAACCTGACCCCTCTATATTCTGGGCTCTGTTACAGCTTCCCAAGATATGAATAGAACGTCTGATGGGTAAGGCAGGAGGAATATGTCCTTCTGTTAAAAAAATGCATATTCTAAGGGCCAGCCCTGAGCTGAGATAAACTCTGACAGCAGTACAGCTTCACCTGGGGCTTTCCAAACTCCAGGGACATATTCACTTCTGTAGAGTTTAGGAACCTGCTAATTAAAGGGTGTTGTTGGCATATATATCTAGGCACAACACAGACAGATGGGTGGATGGCTTGCTGGGAACTCATCTTCTCCAGTTTCCCTCTCAACATGATTTACTCTTCCCAAATTATTCATGTTCTCACCTTCGCTACTGCTGTATGGGAAGGGGAGGGAGGCACTCATCAACCAGGTGGGGTATGCAAAACATTAGCAAAAACAAAAGATGCATGGCAGCCTCTAGAGAAATATTACTTGAATCTTTTGAAAGACAGCATGATAAGTAGCCTTCCAACAAATTTACCTACCCCAGCCTGAGACCTAACAAATAGGGGAGCATGCATATGCACTATGATATCATGACAGCTTTGGGCTATATTAAGACTAGCTCCAGTCTTAACAGAAGCTTCTCCAGCATGATCATTAGTGATTTTTAAATCGCTTATAACTTCTTGGATTTAAAATTTCCACCCAGTCTGTTTTCCACCCACTGTTTTCCTTCCCACTGCTACTATGTCAAAGACCTGTGAATAAGGACAGTTTGCTTTCCAAATTGAACAGGGGAAGGGTGGGTCATTCCATTCATGCTGGAAACTGAAAAAGGTGAAGAGATTTAACTTTTGAACTGGCAACACTTTGGGATTAGGCTGAACAATGAATAATGCAGCCCAAAGAGGACTATCCAAGAAGTTATGATCACAAGCTAGGGCACTAAGACAGTCATGTTCACGAACTTAAAGCAGTTGTTTTAATGCTGTGGCTATGGAATGAATATTTTTGCGTTGGTAATATACAGTTTCTCTCAAAGACTGATTGTAAAGCACCTTTAGAAAGTTTTCGATTCTAATTGATTTCATATATTTATTTCTGCCTATATTATGCACCCATGGCGGTTATTTTCTTCAGAGAATGAGGAAGAGAAGAGTCCAGTGATAGATATGAATGATACATAGAGAGAGAGAGCAACCATGTAAGTTTGTTTGAGAAGATCTCTTCAAACTCCCGCCTAGCCTAGCATATTAAAGGATCCTGCACCTGCAATTCACTCCTTTTCTCGCTTGTAGCATAATTGGCTGGTTTGGGGCTCTGCTATCAAGTCCAGCCTCAAATCATCTGGTGGCAGACCTTCACCTACCAAATTGGGTCTGTATTAAAGAGAAGCCATGATCTGTTCAGCACATGAAGTGCAACTGTTTGGAACAATTATCTGGTGGTTTTGGGGACTGTGATGGGAGTATAGGGATTCTGGATATTTAGGTTTAGAAAAGACCTGCATTATAATTCAGCCTGTCCCTTCTACCACTATCCAAGCACATGAGCAGCCAAAGCTTCCTTAAGCCTTTGCAGGATCCTGCTCAGGCTGCCCACACCCCATATTCAGCCTATATTTTTCTCGTCTTGATTTTACTCCTTCTGAAGTATAGTCCCGAACAACCCCTGCCCACCAACAATGGAAGAAAATAGTAACATTTAGTCCCTAAAACTGACCCTGTGTGGATAATTGTTCTGTCTGCCAGCACCTAAAAGAACATTTTAAGGGGTGGGGGGTGAGACCCGTGCTTTTTGGGGGAAGGGGTGGGAGATCTGTGTTTTTCTTAGCTTCAAGCATTCTGTTTTTCTGAAACTGTGCTAACCAATAATACCTGAGAGCATTGAAACCCCCTCAAAAGCTAACATGACTCCTCTGTTTGTAAACCCTAATAGTTTTTATCAAGATCTTGCCAGAGCATTTTTTCCTCTGTTTTTTTTTTTTTTTTTCCCCTTAGGGAAGAAACTCTAATTTTAATATCATTTGTCTCTTACCAGATGAATCTGTGAACTGGTTCTGTTGCTTTTCTGTCATATAGAGGCCTCTGAGATTATCTGTACATGTTTATATGTGAGAGTGCCTGTGCATGTGGAAATCTGCCTGGGCATCACGTACCACAGCTTGGTATCTGAAGGACTTGCAACCGCAAAGACAGAAAACTGCTAGTCATTTCCTTTTGACTGTTTAACATTTGATAATGATGTTAATACTGTGGTAACCTTATTACAGTAAATAATTGTAACATTTATGAGTTGGCCTGGGTACCTGCTTCTCATTTTGCATGCAATTTTCATGCCTCTCTAAAGGAGAAGTTGTAGAAATTTTGCTGGGCCACTTCAGACCTGCCCTAAAACTGTCCTACCTTTGCCAGAGCAATGGTTTCCAGTGGTGTGTGGGCACAGAGCCTCAGCCACTCTGGCTGTGCAGGGGGCTTCACACCTCGCACGCGTCCTTTGGGGCTGCTGAGCGAAAGACCGTATGCCCGTAGTTGCTGCAGAGGGAGTTCACTGGGGAGATCACTCGCTGCTGGTTGGTGAAAGCCCTTCTGATGTTAGCTTAATGCTTCTGTGCATTTTATGCAAGGACTTTTTGTTGCATAATGCATAAATAGCACCTGGACCAGCACCCAGGGTTTCTTACCTTTTGCAAAGCAGCTACTCAGTTAGCTACCAAGTTAGCCCTTATCTGGTTTACTTTTTCTCTCTGCCTCCATAAATCGTGCATTACTAGCTGAAAATGGCGCATTAACAGATTTACTTCTGGAATTCCCAGACTTGTCTAGCACTTCCTCCATCAGCACCAAGTATTGTGCCTCGCATATGCATGCGACAAGGAGATGTCAGGATTGCTGCTTCTGCAGCTTCATCTGGAGGATTGGACCTTGCATACAGAGTGCTGCACTCACAAGGGCCAAGTTGTGCTGTCAACATGTCCCTAGCAGATGGGACTTTTCAACAAAGATAGGAGTACTGCATACCTGGAGAGACATAGAAATCCTCTGAATGCATGGGGACAGGACTGCCAGGTGGAAACAGAGGACAGGGTCAGGAAAAATCAGCCACCATACCGATCACTGTAAAGAAGAAAGGTGTCTGGGTAATCCAACGCCTTAGTTCATGCAAGAAACAGCCTGGTGATACTGTCACTTTGGACAGTTTAAAGTGATTGCTACAAGACATTTGGTGACTCTTAACTATCTGGAGTTGAGAGGAGACAGACATCCACACACAGCCAGAGTTCTTTCAGAGTCCTGTACTCTGATCTGCTCAAGACTGATTTCATACCTATTGCACATATTGTGGCTTTGAGCTCTGACTCTCTAGAGAAGAGGTTTCTGCTCATCACGTACCAGAAATACTTTCTTCCTACAAAAGAATAAAGTAACTGGAATACAGTAGGCATAACTTTGGCCTTGGAGGTGAAGAGATATCACAGCTACTTTTTGTGCTCTTCTTCACACAAGGAAGGGATGTGCTAAAACGGTAATGGGGTAATAGAGCAGTGCTGTATTTGCTTTTAACTCCAGGAAATTTTAAATAAATGAACACACCGAGAATATAGTGTGGCTGTGTTATAGCAATGGCAGTAGTGTCATGTCTCTGCATCTACTTGATTCCCAGAGGGTGCATGCAGCCAGGACCAAAGCATGTCCATTCTTGCCAGTGAACTACACAAGCAGCTACTGCTGTGACTCTAGGCACAGTTCCTCGGCAGGGTTAATATCTTTGCTCTTCAGTAATGCTTCCTCCCTGGACAGCGCATCCTGTTGCCTATATCACTGACTCATCTTCCCTGACAGAGCTGTTGGCTGCTTAAGACCCTTAAGTAGCATGAGCTTGTTTTTTCCTGCCTTAGTGGCACCCAAGCACAGAGCCAGGGAGGGCTATAATGTTTCCACCTGCAAAGGCAGAGCGCTCTTCCTTGGCACAGCTTCAGCCTCTGTCATGTTGTGTTTTGGAGGATGACAAGTTAAGATATACAGCAGGGAGCTGAAAAGATTATTCCTCTGTCAGGCACGTTGAGGCTGGCTTGTAAAAGCTGTGTGGAAGAGAACGCAGTGGGAGAAGGGTTCTTCTAGGCTTCAGCAGCCCAGAACATCTCCGCTGGCAAACTTTGCAACTTCTTGGGAAAGCACATACTCTCAGACCAGAAATGGTCACTGGCCTTGCACCTAAGTCCAGTGAGAGCAGCTCCCAGGAAGCAGAAGGCTGCTGCTGGGAACTGACCTGTGGCTAGCATGTTGTGAAGAGGAAGCTGAGGCAAGGACCAGAGCATTTTCTGACTTCCAAAAGCCCCCTCCAAAAGGAGCAGGATACAGTGGGCCATTTGGAGCTGTGGATCCTAAGTAGTATTCTGCAATACTTGGATCACTTAGGCTTATGAGTAAGTTTCCTCCTTTGAACTTGTGAAGGTCTTACATAGCCCTTGCTCTTATTGCCTCAGTTTCCTCCTAATGGCTTGCCTTCTGTCCTAGTATGTCCTGAGAACCCCACTGGTCTCTCCCTGGCAGTCAGCAGGCATATATGGATGTTTCCAGAGTACAGTCTGCTGGGCCCTTGTGATGATCCTGTCGGTATCTTCCCCTCCTGGTTCTCAGAAGGTGCTTAAATTATAGTTTCTTAAGCTGCGAAGCAGTGTCTTTTAACAAGTCCTCAGTGGGGGCTTTCCTGCTATACTGTTCTTGGCCCAAAATGTGGAGGGAATTTTGGAATGTCTGAGCTCAGGCAGGGTCTGGATGGGGGGGTAGGAAATATTTTAAATCCTTTGCAAGCTTTCTAACTGAATCTGCAACTGCATAGAGTAGCTGAGCCTGGCAGGGCAAGGCACAGACTGGCGGGGAGAAGACAGAGCCTTTCTGGCTGAGGTTTTTGTAGGCATAATGTCCTTATTTGGCTCTAAAGAATGCTTTTTTCTTTTGTTGTCTCTTTTCCTGCTTAGTTAAATCCAGATGGGTCTGTTGTCCAGAGAGACTTCTCATCAGTTCCTCCTGCTGTACCACCCTCCTGCCTTCTCATGGGCGAGCAGTGTCCAGAGCAGGCGTCACTGGCAGTTCTCAAATGCAGTGATTTACCTGGTCAGAGTAAAAAGAAGAGAGGCTTCTTCTTCAAAGGAAAAAAGCTCTTCAAAAAACTCGGGTCCAGTAAGAAGAATTAACAAGGGATTTGTTGCTATGTGTAAATTGTCTGTGTAGCCCACATAGGCACTGGAAATTCAGGAGGAGCCCTCAGCAATAAGCTTATTAGAGTATTTTCATAGGGAAAAAGTATACATTGAATAGAGAAAATCCTTCAGTGGGTCTGCAAGCTGTGGTCTCTGCTGAAAGCCCACCCAGCACAGGCAGGGGCTCTGGACACAGTATCATGGCACTGTGGTGTATGAGGCCTCAGCTCTAGGATACAGCTACCTCCACAGTAGTGTGTCCTGCTCCATGCAGCCCTCAATGCACCAGTTCCCTGTAAATATTTTAATTTAAAAATGATATTCTGACTGTAACTTTAGCTAAACGGCTTTTCCCAGCGAAGCCCCAGCCCCTTAGGAAGAGCTCCCTTGTACTACACACCCTGGTATCACTGGTCCGAAGGAGGTTGTCTCAACTCCTTCATTTTCTTCAAAGAACATTTGCACTCTTGTGTTCCCATGAATCCCCTTTGCTGTCTCTGGGCTGATGAGTAAGTTATTTGTACTGTAAACCTGTAAATATGCAGCTGTGCCTAGGAGCATCCCACACTGCCTCAGTCACGGTTCAGCGCGAGGGTTCTCATGGAGGAAGGAGTGATACCCGTACTTCCACATATAGCATGGGCTGCTGTAAGCTTCTTTTGGCTGGTTCACCTTGACCACATGCTGGCTGGGGACTCTGCCTTATTTATTTATTTATTTATGTATTTATTTATCTATTTATTTATTTATTTTTGTCTGCCTCTTTCATGGTTTTATTTGGCTGTTTTAGTGGGCTGCTCCTGAGTTGGAGCACTTGGAGAGCAGAGCTGGGGACAGAGAGTTTGCAGCTATTTTCATATGATATGATGTGTTTCTTGAGTTAAGACACATCCCTTTCTAAGCCACGGAGAGTTTTGTACTACATGGTTTTTATCCTTTTCAGTGTTTCTTTCTTTGCATGTTTCAATAGGGTATTTGTTTTGAGAAGGACAGTTATGTGAGGTATGTGAATGATGCCAGCACAGTGTCCACAGTGTTGGTGATACAGTATGTTTTTATTTAATATTGAATTTTATTATAATAAAGTCTATTTTCACAAAAATACATTTTTCCTTAAAAAAAGTGAGATTCACTGCTGCTTCCTTTTTTGTATATGGGGAGGTACCAATCACCAGTGCCTTGAGGATGCTCCCCAGCACCTCACGTAGGACCTCACATTGCCTGCAATTGTCCTGATAGTAGCCCTCTCTGGGAGTGAAAACCCTTTACCTCTCCAGTCTCAGAGACCTAATGCTGGAAGAGGAAGCGCCAAGGTGCAGTTACACAGTGTTACAGTGTGCCTTCATGCAGTTATATGGTGTCTGGACCTCAGCTGTATGTGCGTGGTTGTGTGTTGCACCGTCTGGAAAGCTTCATGCAACATTAGTCCCTGATTCTGGGCACCGGGCTCCTTCAGTGTGGCACCAGCGAGCCCTGGGGGGCATCTGCACAGCCAGATTTCTCCCCACAGTTCTGTTCTCACATGTGGGTGTTCCTGTTGGAGCACATCTGGTTTCCCTCCTGAGGATATGTTGTGAAGGGCATGGGACTGACGTGGCTGCCCAGACACCAGTGCATTCTGCAGGGGATCCTGGCTCCTGGGTTTGCATATGGGCAGGGAGGGTTGCCAGGCTGGAGAACTATCAGGAGCACCCAAACGACACAGATGCACTCATGTTTCCTCGTGTTGCAGTAGCAGAACAGTGAAGGCAGTATCAGGTGAGCTGGGTAAATCCAGAAGAGTGTTTCATTCTAGTTGATTTCGTTCTAAGAGCAAGAATGAAGAGAAGTGCAATGGTGGGTTTTCTCAAACACAGCTCTTTCTCTTTTGAGTTTTGGATGCTTTAACGTTTTCCATTTTGGATCAAGATTTTTGATCCCAAGAAAGGGGGAGGAAGAAAAATAACTGTTAGAGGCCAAACGAGAGGATGCCAGTGCACTGTGCTGTTGTGCCACCAGGAGATGAAGGTCCTCACAAGGTCAGGTTGGCTGAGCCAGCAATGTGCCCTTGTGGCCAAGAAGGCCAAGGTGCAAGGCAAGGACCAAGGTCCTGGGGTGCATTAGGAAGAGTGTTGCCAAGCAGGTCGAGGGAGGTGATCCTCCCCCTCCCCTCAGCCCTGGTGAGGCCAATTCTGGGCTCCCCAGGACAAGAGAGACATGGCACTACCGGAGAGAGTGCAGCAGAGGGCTACAAAGATGATGAGGGGACTGGAGCATCTCTCCTGTGAGGAAAGGCGGAGATTGCTGGGCCTGTTCAGCCTGGAGAAGACAAGATTCAGAGGCGATCTCACCAGTATATACAAATATCTGAAAGGAGGGTGTCAAGAGGATGGAACCAGACTATTTTTGGTGGTGCCCAGCGACAGGACAAGAGGCAACGGGCAGAAACTGAAACACAGGAAGTTCTGTCTGAACATGAGGAAAAACAATTCTTGACTGTGAGGGTGACAGAGCACTGGAAGAGGTTGCCCAGAGAGGTTGTGGAGTCCCCTTCTCAAGATATACAAAACCCGCCTGGACGGAATCCTGTGATGACCTTGCTTGAGCAGGGGGGGTGGACTCTGATCTCCAGAGGTTCCTTCCAACCTCGGCCATTCTGTGATTGGCTGAAGGACAGAGGGTTGAGGTAGAAAAAAAAAAAAAATCTCAGCTATTGACCCCTTGTCCAAGCAGTGTCTTATGGGATATTCTTTGGAAAAGCTGTACCTGTCTAGGATTATTATACTTCAACTCTCTCCTCCTGGAAATTGCTCTCAAAAAAGCACAAGGTTGTATGCAGCTTTGCTCTCCACTCTAGCTGGCACAGTTCATTTTTTAAAATAAATTTCTTTAGTATACTTTGGGTAAAAGAATGAAAAATAAGGAAACCTGAAAAGCTCTGAGGTTGGGCCACAGGTCTTGGCTCTGTACCTTGCTCTTAATGACTCACTGCATCATGATGCCTCATATTCCCATCTGTAGAAATATGGACACTTGAAATGGAGATTGCAGTGTTAGGTGGGGCTCTCTGAAGGCCAGTAATGTGAAAATGTTGGATCCATTGCATAAGGTGGCAGTTCTGTGTATCAATCCTCTGGGAATCCAACCTAGGGGTCAAAAGTGGCTGTGGGGATTTCTGGAGATTTTGCAGAAGGATTTCGCTGATGGGGGGACTTGCCTGGGAAGCTGCTGCTCGTTAGAGGTAAATGTTTCAGAAGGATCTTGATATGACAGTGCACCACTGTCTCCTATAATGGACAATAAGTCAGGATAAAGACAGCTTAAAAAGTTTCAGAGTGATAAAGTTGCTGTAGCTTCAGATGCTGAAAGTATTTTCCAAAACTTCTGAAGCAGGCTTAAGTGATGAAAGTCATCAGTAAGCCAGTATTGAGTCTGACTGGATGTCTCTCGAGTCTCTGCATGCATGTGAGACCCCTCTCCTCTACATCAGGGGTTTTCTTCCCCTAATTGTGGGATGTGAGACCCATGCTATATAAGAGCTACATTTTTGATAACTAGTCTGAAACACCTCTAGAAATGCCTTCCATGCGTTGTAATCACCGTAATTTATCTTCCGCTTACCCTGCCTTGGAGGAAGCTGGTTGCAGTTTTAACTGAATTTACCAGCTGTAGTTTCCTAAGCAAGTTGTTTAAGGTCTTTTGAAAGAAACTGTCTATTGTTGCACTTATTAATCTTTTCTTTGCAAGAGCACTTACAGAAAATTTCCCTTCTACTTGCTTTTTCCTGATGTAGGACAGAAAAAGAAATTTTCATGAAAAGATGATCCAGTACGTTCAGTGACTGGGAAGGTTTTGTATAGAGAGGTTATATATATTGAGACAGGGGACAGAAGCACTGTACTGCTACTGAGAAACAGGTGGGTAGGTAGGAGATGCAGATGGGAAAGAGCACGGTTAACATAAACAAAAAATTCTGTCATGGCCACAGAGAGGCAGTCTGAACATCTGTGAAATATTATGAAGGAGGATGGACTGAAGAACAAAACCCTTAGGAAGAATAACCAAGGCTGTGACATGTTAGGGTCTGCCCAGAGCCAGAGGCTGTCTATCTACAATTTGTGGGTGCAGGATGGCTTGCTTGCACCTGCTGCTCCCTTCCTGCCTCCATTCAGCTGTGCCTGGGCTACTAGCAGGTGCACATTGTTGTTGTCTTCCCCAAAAACATGCTGGGCTGCCTTCCTGTCTTGATATGGGCAGATTTTACTGTGATAGACATAAACTCCTGTCATTTAGCACAGTCACACTAATTCAGTTTGTTCTCTGATACCAGGCCAGCTTTCTCAGCAAAGCTGAGAAAAGTCTTCTTGAGAAATGTTTAAGACTTTCAGGTTTTGGTAGCTAAAAACAATAGGCTACAACCACCCTCTCCCTCCCCAAAATAAGGTAAAATGCAAATACGGTCTAGATGTTCTACATTCTTTGCTTTGAATTCTTGTGCTATGACCAAACTATTGATGACACCCCTGGTGACTTCTAAAGCTCTGGATAGATATTTTTGGTTTCCCCCGCTGCCAAATTGTATGTTCTTGGTCCTACTTACCTTGGGTTTTGCTTTGGATACAAATGCAAATGCAGCCGATGGTCAGCTATGGAGTAGATGTCCTCTACTGACCTGGGAGTTGCTCCTGTTTTTGCACTCACATATAGTCAGAGAATAGCTGTCATACTTGGGTTTGCTCCCCCTACCTAATGTAGGTGGCTGCATTTCCATTCTCAGGCCTTGAATAAGCACTTATTGAATGTACACTCTCTTTAGCTTGATGGCTCCAAGATGTTCCTCGTTTCTGATAGATACATCATCAATGGCAGCTCTGAGCATGTTCATTACCAGACATGGTAGACCAGGCACAGGACTCTTCTTTCCGTTTCCAGGATCTATCAGGTTAGGAGCTCCTGGTTCACAGATATCCTCTACAAATTAAAGTGCTGAAGAAGGTGGGAATGGGGACAAAGCCAGTAGATAGAATTGTCTACATTTTTATAAATAAGTTCCCTAATAAGTCTCCTCAGTGTCTTCTCAATCCTATACTGGGGGTAAAACATCAGTGTGGTTAGCCATAATTCCCAAGGTGGACTGGGGTACCTGAGCTCTGACAAGTTCCTGAGCTCACAACACTTATTCCAGAAGAACAAGACTTAGGCTCTTTACAGAGCACAAGCAGTGCATGAGTTAATCTTTGATACCTCTGTATAGCTCTTAATTATGAGCTCTAAAAACTGAACTGAAAAAGTCTAGAAATATACAGTGCATGTAGCCAGTTGCTTTCCTAGACAGGTGCTTCTCTAGCATCGAGATAGACCAGTGATCCCATCAGTCAGTAGGCAAGACAAGTGTGATATTCAGAGCCGCTTACTACTGTTACTCTAGTGCTGTGTGCAGTGGGAGAAGCTGTGGGTCTGCAGCTAATGGTGCCCAGAAGATAGAGCCAGAAGGACTTTCACAACAAAGTCTGGATTCACCAGTGACCTGGAGTAGGGTAATGATAGAGACAGATGATCCTCATGTGGCTGGTGCCATGGGCAGGATGCAGGCATTAGAGAGTGAAGAAAGTCAGATCTATAGATAACACTGTCAATCCTGATGGATGCAGGTAAGTCAGAGCTCGCCCTGGGAGAGACCAGCTGAGGAGAGCTTGACCTGAACTAGGGGATCACCACCATGGTCTCAGAGAGTGAGGAAAGTGGCATGTGGCTTTGGGTAGGATAGAGGGGTGCAGAGGGTGGAATTTGATCATGTATCACAATAAGCCACTTCCTATGGAGTCCAAGTACAAAGCTGCGTGTTGTCCAGAGCTGGAAGATCACCTCTTCCTGGGTGTGTGCTATAGCAGACAAGCCAAATACAGCCCTCAGCTCCCACTCTGGAGGACTTGCTCAGAGCATGTCTGAAGAGATCAGCTACTCTCCCTCCGTATGTAGAGCTTTTGCACAGTGTGCTGGGAACGTGGTTCAAATCGCTTTTGTACCATCCCAGTCTGACCCTCCAGCACAGCCTTCCCTCCTGCCTATGTTGTGGTTGCCCATTGATGCTGTTCTCTCTTGGATGAATGGGGTTTGCAAGCACAATATGGACTGCAGGGAC